AACAACAAAATGTGAACAGGGGATGATGGTTGAGAGAAAGGGGGAGGGGGTTCATGCACACGGATATATTTACACACACACACACACACACACACACACACACACACACACACACACACACACACACACATGACCATGCATAATATTATCAGTAGTGTGTGTGTGCAGAGACAGACTAAGAGGGACACATAGACATAACATACAAAAGCGCAACATCAAAAGAAGACAAACATACAGCGGAGAAGGAAATGGCACGACAAACCACAGACGACGTGAGAGGGACTGTGTACCTGATAACTAAACGTTATAGCTAAACCGACTAGGCTCTCAACTGTTACCGTCGATAACGGACCAACGTAGAGTTAAGCGAGAAGGGAACTTGTGGCTACGTTATAGCCTAGGCCTACTACAGGCAAGTCACATGAGATTGCGCACGTAAGAAGTAGAAATTCACACAGGAGCATCAAATAATAAGTTGATGGTTTCATACTTTTCTATAATTTAGATGAGCCTAAGATTTTTGTAACAGTTGCTAAGGCTCATAGGGTCTATGTCCCCCAGGGTACTGCCGGAACGTACCCTGGGTACGGTCGCGGTAATACCGTGAACGTACCCTGGTCACATATTGATATGTTAGGGTTAAGGATAGGTTAGGGGTAGGGTTGATGTTAGGGTTAGGATTAGGTTAGGGAGTAGGCGTAGGCGACTCATAGTACTCGTTAGGTGAGTAGGCGAGGCACGTACCGGCATATTAGATAGTAGCCAGGGTAGTTCCGCAGCTACGCCTCCGGGGGCGAGTTTTTTTTTCCCTAGTCGACATAACATAGCGAAGAATTAGCCGCCTCTGATTGGCTGCTTTACGATTTGGCTGTGCCTTTGACAAGAAACAAACGCCCATTTGTAACATAGCGAAGTAATTGCAATTATTTGGCAATAATAACCCTAACGCCTAACCTTAACCCTAACGCCTAACCCTCGTAACTACGCCTAACGACCTAACCCCAACCCTAATTAAATTAATTACACGACTAATCAAATGAAAAATAAATATTATAAAGAAAAATTTTCATTAAAATTTAATTGTTGTAAATCATCATGCGAAATATTTCCGTTAATTAGAAAACAATAGTTAAATGGATAAAGATAAAAAAATACAAGAAAACAAAAAATAATTAAAACCCAACGGGTTCGAACCAGCGCGCTTTCACACGTAACGGCGTGTTCTATCCACCACGCCAACGAGGATATATAAGAAACAGTAGCATGACATATGCTAAATGAGCAAACACGCGCTGTTTTGACCAGCGCAATCAGAGGCAGGATGAAACCATCAGAAAACAATCAGAAGGCGCTAAATTCTTCGCTATGTTATGTCGACTGGGAAAAAATAAACGAGCACCCCGGGGGACGTAGACCCTCTCAGCGTTGCTAAGACATGTTTTCTGAAATCTGTTTTGATGTCCCACAGAAGCGACATATATGATATGTAAAAATCCTGTGCACTTCCCGACTACAAAACTGTCACACGAGATTGCGCAGTCTCATGCACATAACGGTTCAGCATAGGTCCAAATCTCTATACGGTCTAACGACAATGTATATTACCAATAAAGCAGGAAATAATGAGAATAGATGACATTCAATGGCAAAAAACATTTGTTCTCACAAATTAAGAACCATGCAGTGCCAGTGGCAGTGATCAACGGAAGACGTTGTGTTGATGACTGACGGAAAGTGGAGAAATGAATTTCGTCTGCAGAGTCCGAGTGACGATCCCAAATTGATTTTGTGTGACACAAATAGACCATCTGAGTTGTTTTTACTGCAATCACTTTTGTCATACAGACAAAAATATTGTGTGCGCAATCTAATGTGTCAGCATTGTACCTGAACTGCTGAACGCAGCGGAGGCGTGCTTGTATTATTGCCGCTGTAAATAACGAAGAAACAAGATGCGACCGTGACCCATTCTCCAGCCCATTGCTGACGCAACATGTAGCCCTTCTACATCGGCGTGTGCCATATTTGGGGCAACAAAATCGAGTTTCCAATCCCGGTTCCATCAAAACCATTCTGTCAATCCTGTCCCACAAATACTCAATTTTGTGGCACACAAAACTCAATTTCTGCTCAATCTGTACCCACAGAAATCAATTTGGTAAACACAAAACTCAATACTGTCGATAACCGTTGTCCAACAAAACTGATTTTTGTTGGCTAAAGAGCAGCACGAATGGTAAGAAAGGGCTACCATTGTCAGAAGAAACAAGATGGCGCAGACACATTTCTCCAGCCCAGTTCTGCCACATGTAGCCCTTCTTACAATGCGATGTTGCGCATATTTGGGGCAACAAAATCGAGTTTTGTGAAACCGTTGCGATAGAATGAGTTTGTGTTTTACAAAACTTTGAGTTTGTGCGACCGGCTTCGACAGAATGCGTGAGTTTTGTGTTACAAAAATTGAGTTTTGTGGAACCGGTTCGACAGAATTAATTTGTGGAACAGGATTGAACAGAATTGAGTTTTGTGTTACAAAATTTTTATTTGAGCTTTTGGTGGACCGGGATTAACAGAATTGAGTTTTGTGTTACAAAATTTGAGTTTGGTGTACAGGATTGACAAGAATTGAGTTTTGTGTTCACAAAATTGAGTTTTGTGAGACAGAATTGAGTTTTGTTAGACAAAATTGAGCCCTGTCCTGCATGGCGCCCCGTATGTATGGATTCTTGTGATTTGAGAACTGATTTCCTGTTAGTAATTTTCGGTTTATACGTTTGTATTTCTAGTTTACGTGACCAAAATCGACACATGACCAAAGAGAAGTGAACTAGATGTAAAGATGAGGTGTTTATGTGATCTAAAATAAAACTATCGTTTGACTGGACTTGACCGCCTTCCTAAGTATTTCTCGACGGGTGCCGTAACAACCATAATTCCATAATATATTACCATTATTGCTTTGTGATGATATTATAGCCAGGGGCGGATCCAGAGGGTTTGGATGACCAGTTTCCATAGTTCTAGTTACAGCTAGGGGGTCCGGCGGCATGCCCCCGAGAATAAAAAAAAAAGGCTATATTTGGTGCATTCTGGTGAATTTTGAGGGTCAATTCTGAAGATACCCAGCCTGTGACCGGTTTCTGGAAACCGGTGCAAACCGGCCAAAATCCGCGCCTGATAGCTAGGGATTTACCAACCTTTGGACTGCGAACGTGTGAACGGATGCTAACCTGTGAAATGATGCTAACCAGAGATTTCTAGTTCTACTCCTAAATTAACTGTTATAATTACATCCAGTCAGAGTAGTAAGTTCATTTCTGACATTCGGTAAGGTGATAATTTGTAGAAACGTAATAATCGATACGAGTATAGTAGCTTAGTGTAAAACTAGTTAAATAGTATTAGTAATGTCACGTATCGTACTTTTCAGGCGAAATCTTTACATGTTTACATGAGGATGTCAACTCAACATATGGTTTTTATTTTCATTATTTCAAACTTCAATGGTGATCAATAAAACGATCTCGCATATCTCTCAGATCGGGTGCAGTTGCGTACTTTCTTGTCTTCGTCGGCCTCGCCAGTCTCGTCTTTCGACGTTAGGTGGTTCTAGGGCTGTATTGGCCTTTCGGGTGGTCTTCGTGATGTGAGGGCTCAAACTCGGGCATTCTGAGATTGTCATCCCATGTATATGGGTGTACAGTCGTCTGATTTAGGATCTGAGTGTTCAGTGTGTAGAAGTAGATCAACATACAGTCCGTGCGCATTTACTGCTGTGAGAACACATGTCCCATGTTAGACCACGTCTCGAGTAGACGGAGATAGTCTTGGACGACTTGATGCTCATGATAAGTTCTGATCTGCCTGTAGACCAGCCAGACGTATGCGAACAATTAGGTCTGATTATTTAGACCATTTGGGAGACCATTTATGTGGTATAAGAAAGTACGGGTACCAAAACAGTGTCCGGTGTACCCCAGACATTACAGCTATACAGCATGTGTTATACCGATGGTGTAATTAATATAGGCGCGAATTCTCCGAGTGGTCCATGATTATGAAGACCCGGCTTCAATTTTGATTGTTGTCATCGAGGCCGATGAGTCCTGATGTATATGCGTTTGTGTGCATTTGCGATTTTTTTAATTTTCTGCTGTGTCATGCTCTATGTCGTCGACCTAAGTGTTGTACTATATGCGTGCATGCAGTTTGTGCGTGCGTGCATGCTTTCAGAGTAGTAAAACGTTTTAAATAAACTTTATTAACGTGTAACGTGCGCAATATAAATCAATAAATATTATTATATTATTATTAAATATTATTGTTATATGATAACATAATCGTCGATTATATATATGATAATTATATTTGCAACAATTGTCGAAATGATTTGTAGTTGGTGAAATTATTGTGACGTGTTTGCAATGCATTCTGTTATGTATCATTTTGTATAAATACAGTGTAGGTCGTTGTGTTATTTAGAGAACGATTCATATAGAATCTGGAAACTTGGGATTTTTTACTTTCTATGTTCACACTGAACACAAAGCAACCTGTTTCCAATTTTTTAAATATGTCTAGTGGCAAAATTCAAGATGGCGGCCAGCATATACCGAAAAAGCAATAAATCATTATATTTAAACCAATTTATTCAATATATGCACAATGATAAGCTTATTATGGACATGCACTACGTTATTAGTCATCACAGCCGCTGTCATCTTCATCCTCGCCCTCATCATCACTGTCTGTCTCCTCATTTGCAACATTAGTGCATGATCCGTCAGCACCTTCACACTTGCAAAGCTCTGTGCATGCCAGATTATTGGCCTTGCAAGAACACCGTCCACTGCATTTGCTGGCAATACATGAACACTTCACGAGGTCCACTAGTATCTATGTACAGTCATTGAAAATTTCAATAGCCCTGGCTATACTACTAATAATTTTCACACTGGAAGCAACATTGGAGAATACATGTACATGGACATCTATACACATTAGGTTACAGGCAACATTGGAAATATATTTCAGAACAACTTTTCTATATACAATCATTGGGTTCATTTACCAATATTACTGAAATAAAAACTGTGAGTAACTTTAGAGCTTTGAATTCAAAAGATCCCTAGATAAGATGAGTACAAACTAATGATGACAGGAACTGTGTACGAAGTATGTAGTTGCTAACCATTGACATAACTTGTTGATACAATGTCCGTCCCTGATCTATCTTATGTGCTACGCCGAGAGTACGCAGCTCACGACGAAGGTCACGCGGGAATCCATCGAATCCAAAACACTGCACGTGTTGGAGGGGGCGCTCCAGTGTTGCTGGGTCCTCATATGCAGTGTCCACGCCATCATGTTGGTCAATTGGGATTCCTTCAAATGGTGCCGCCAGATGAAGAAACTGTGTTTCCAGTTGGCATGGGGTACGCTGGTGTTCTGTAGAAATTTTCCGCTTATTTAGCGCAAGGCACAGCCGTGTGAGGTTCATCTGAATTAATGGCAAAAAAACCCAGTGTAGACACATCATGTCCGTCTCATTATCCGTGTTTAGTTGGCCTTCTCTCTCTAGTGTCTGAAGTAGAACCTTGAATGGTAGGGTTGCGCGGTCATTGATCAAACCCCACAGTTGTTCAATTGGTTGGTTATGGACCGAACTTCCAACTAAAGCGGAGCGCTCCCCTCGCTTGCCGAGCATCTCCTGCCACACCAGCTCGTTCTCTCCACCAAAATCAGTGCGTACACGTATAGGCCATTGGAATTGTTCAGTGGCACCCAAAAATGCTCTATGAACGGTGGCGGCTTTGTTATTGTTGGAGATATTCATGAACGTGACAAGGCGAGTAAACCCATCAACTCCTGTAATGCAAGAAAATGTTATTAATAATGAGTTGTTTATTACTAAAAGGAGCAACACTAGTAAATTGTAAACAAAGACACATATAACACATTTTGACAATTTAGTTTATAAAATTGAAAAAAAAATCTTCAACAAGCTTCCCCTCCTCCCCTGCAGATACTCCCAATATTTAGCCAAGTTAATTACTGCATGGAAACAATTGACAAATGAGAATTCAGCAATCTCATTAAATATGCACAAATTTGCTCGGATCATGTTGGCTGTCGAACTCATCCTTCGCCATCCTGAAATGCATCTACATATCAAATATTTTTTTAATTGGTCAATATTTAGCCAAGTTATTGTCCGGAACAAAACAAATACATGTACCGTAAATACATAAATAAAAGATATGGTATAGTATACAGTATTTTATTTTTAGTGTATACATTACATTTGTTAAAATCTATAAATATTAAATACTGAGTAGCCTACAAAATCAATTCATTAAAAACTTGTTATAACATAACAGCTGCTAAGTCTTTAAATAGTTTGGTTTAGCGTCTTTTACTATGAATTACAAGGTACCACTGGAAATTTGGAACGTTATACTGTATTTTCTCGCCATATCGCAAATGGGCAAGTTACTTCTTAGAATCAAATAGTTTTGTCTGAAAATCCAATTAAAGTTTCCATTTCTGGCCAAAAATAATGAGTGTCAAAAACTAATCAACCCGGGGACTATTATTATATAAGCACTGAAAGTATATCGCCTGCCCCACCCCCATGAAAAATGGCACTTCCAAATTTTTTACGTACATGTCTATATTCACTATATCGCCCACCCCCATAAAATATTACACTTCCAATATTTTGTAATAAATGTGAAAATATGATAGTGCTGGTAATGATAGTAATGAATCAAAAGAGGTTTATTAATATCGTACTGCCCCAGTTATGAGAACTGTGATAGCAATTTCCCCCATGGCTATTATTCGGGCAGGACCATTATTACTAATATTAGTAGTGAATATAGACATTACGTACCTCCATGAATCACCATTTTCCATTTGATGAGCTTATGATTGCCATCAATGTGCCACATATAATGTGGACACGGCACCGAGTACTGCCGGCGCTTGATGGTAACTGACCGCCTGGCCTTCACACCTTCACTATCGACATGGTGAATTGCAGCTCGTAGCTTCCATCGCTGTATTTTGATTGGAGGTGTGCGGGCTTTAAGGTGACCGTCCATCAAAACCTCACCATCATTTGGGTGGTTTTGTTTTATTTCGATGATAATGTCTACGAGGTCGTCATCCGATATGTCCGCATACTTATGTCTAATAAGTTCGTGGCGATTGATATTCCTATATATGGCTTTCGTTGCAACATGGAAAATATGGGCTATTTCAGTTATAGGCAAGTCAGGCGCTTTAGCCAGAGGGGTTGCGGGGGTTCGAAACGAACCCCCCCGGCCCAAGCCAAAAAAAATTTTTTTTTTTAAAATTTGCACAGAATTTCAGCCTCAGGTCGCTCGTGTGGGTTTAGTGCCTATATAAAATTTTTTTGCAAAATCTCCATCGTGCGGAAGCGTGAACAGTGAACAACCTCCCGCCCCACCCTCCCCCCGCTCGGCACTTGCTCCTCGCCTGGTCGCTTCGGCGCCCGAGCAGGCGGCGGATGTACAGGGGGTCCGACTGTACGACGACTGGACATCCTGTCTCCCCACATCGTGCGCCGCGCCCTCCTCACTGTACTCTCTCCTTCCAGTCCCCTCCCCCCCCCCCTCCCCACCCGTCCCTCCCACCCTCCCGGGCCTTCGCTTTACTCAATCTCTCTTTCTCCTTCCATGAGGGCTCGCTCACACGCTGATCCTTCTCTGTCTTTCCCCCGCCGCTACGGAGTCACAGAGAGGGGGGGGGCCTACTTGCTCCGCCGCAGAAAACGCAGATCATGAGGCTGGCGTTGAATTTTTAAAAAATTATGTTCGGGAAAGGCCCCCCTCAGACCCTGCCCCTTCGCGTGCTTCGGCACTCGGCTTACGGTTTACACCCCGCTGGTACTAATTATCCTGTACAGACGCCCTGCCGAGCAAGATTGCCAACAATGAAAAACGAACCCCCCCCCCAATAAAAAAGCTGGCTACGAGGCGCGGGAAGTCATCTCCAGACATATTCAATATCTATATCATTGTAGGCTATTTGAACATTAGAACCTGTTGTTTGCCGAGTGTTTCAAATGACGGTCGATCTTGAAGCACCTGGAAGCGGGAGTGTGTCGCAAGTGACATCATGAAACGCTCCACAGCTCTGCAGGGCCAAAGCCTAAACACAGCCCTCACCAAGACTGAAACGAACAAATGTGAACAGTGGATGATGGGTTGAGAGAAGGGAGAGGGGTCTTCATGCACACGCAGATATATTTACACACACACACACACACACACCACACACACACAGCACACACACACAGCACACACATACACACTGCTATAATATATGTAGTGCTGCTGCCCTGTCAGAGACAAGACAGGAGACGACACATAGTCACAAAATTCATTTACAATAACAGGGCAGACATCAAAGAAAAGCACACAACAGTACAGACGGGAGACCAAGGCAATCGCAGGACAAAAACACACCAGACTGAACGGAGAGGGACTGTGTTTACTGTATACTAACGTATTATAAGCCTAACAAGCGGACTAGGCTCTCAACGGAGAATGCTTACACGTTCGAAGGACGCAACGCTAGCAGTTAGCGAGAAGGGCAGGAATCTTGGGCGTACGTTAGTAGCCTGAGCCTACTACAGGGAGGGTCACATGTGAGAGTGGCGCGAGTAAGAATGTTAGGAAATCTCAGACAGGAGCATACGCAAGTTCTCTCGTGCTTTCATTGCCCCTCCGTCCTCCGTCGATGTTTTGGCCCTTAGTTCCTCTCGGACCGTGAATGGGGGCGAGCCGTGTCCGCTAGAGAGCAGTAGAGATTGATGCGTCTGGTGGTGAATCTCTCTAGCTTTTATCTTACGGCGCAATCTCATGCTGACTCTGGCCGGTGTAGTGGCCTAGGCTATAACGATAGCCACAAGTTCCCTTCTCGCGCGTTAACTCTACGTTGGTGCCTTTCGACACGTGTGAACAGTTGGAGAGCCTGTCGGATTTAGCTATAACGTTAGTATTACAGTAACACAGTCCCTCTCCGTCAGTCTGTGTGTTTGTCTGCCATTACCTTTCCCGTTGTATGTTCATGTGCTCTTTTCTTTGAATGTCTGCAGCCTGTTTGTATGTGTCTACCCCGCGCTAGTCACTCGTTGTGTGTGGCCACACGAGGAGCTATGCGACGAGGACCGAAACCAGCTTCCGGCTGAAGACCATGCACGGGGGACGGGACAAGAGATGAAATTTTGTCTTTTCTTTGAATGTCTTCTGGCCTGTTGTATGATTGGCTATGGGGCCTGTCCGTCTGTCTAGCGCTCTGTTTCTCTGACACACACCACTATATAATTATGCATGTGTATTCGTCGGCAGCATCGTGTCGTGTGTGTCGCTTAGTGTGTGTTTACCAAGCGCCATCGTGTGTGTGAGATGTGTGTGGTCTGTGCGGCGTGTGTGTTAAATTATCAGCCGTGGTGGAGCGTTCACAAGTGTTTCAGATGCGATATAAATAGAACCGCCCTCCCCCGTTCTCTCTCAACCCATCAATCCCCCCACTGTTTCACAATTTGTTGTAAGAGAATGGCCCCGCCAGGCAGCAGAACAAACACCAGCGACATCGATATACTGACGTTCGGTTTCGAGGTCTTGCGGATGCTGTGGTGTTTACTTTTGGCGGCCTTACAGAAGCCTGTTGGTTTCATGATGTCACTTGAGACACCCCGCTTCCAGCGTGTTCTGTTCAAAGTGACGTCATTTGAAAACAATTCGCGGCAACACAGGTTTCATGTTCAACAGTAGACTACAATGGATATAAGATAATTAGACTTATGCTGGGCAGGATTGATGACTTGCACCAGCGCCGTTGAGACCAGCTTTGTATTTGGGGGGGGGGGGTTCGCTTTTTCAATGTTGAGCAATTTGGCTCAGGCATGGGGCGCTTGTACAGAGAATTTGTACCAGGGGGGGGAACCGTGTAACCCGGAAGGCTTGGGCAGAGGCACGCGAAGGGCGGGTCTGGGGGGCCCCCCCCATCAATTATATTTTAAAATTACACCCCCTCAGATGCGGTTTTGCGCGAGCAAGCGTGGGGTCTGAACTCCCTGGACCCCCCTGTACACGCCCCTGCTCTGGGCGCGAAGCGACCAGGAAAAGAAGGAGCCATGCAGGGCAGGGGAACTGAGTGATATCGCGAGCGGGGTCGTTACTGGGGATAAGCATAATACTAGGGACGTGGCGTGGCGGGAGTGTTGTTGTTCAACTGTTCACGCCTCGTTAGTAGTCCGTCCAAACGATTGCGAGATAATTGCCCAAACAAAAATTTTCCATTACACCTAACAAATTAGAGCGACCTGAGGGTGAAATTCTTGCAATTAAAAAAAACAATTTTTTTTTTTGCTTGGGGCCGGGGCGGGCGGTTCGGTTCGAACCCCCCGAACGCCCCTGGCTACGGGCCTGACTTGCCTATAACTGAAATAGCCCATATTTTCCATGTTGCAACGAAAAAACCATATATAGGAATATCAAACGCACAGAACTTATTAGACATAAGTATGCGGACATATCGGATGACGACCTCGTAGACATTATCATCGAAATAAAACAAAACCACCCAATGATGATGGTGAGGTTTTGATGGACGGTCACCTTAAGCCGCACACCTCCAATCAAAATACAGCGATGGAAGCTACGAGCTGCAATCACCATGTCGATAGTGAAGTGTGAAGGCCAGGCGTCAGTTACCATCAAGCGCCGGCAGTACTCGGTGCCGTGTCCACATTATATGTGGCACATTGATGGCAATCATAAGCTCATCAAATGGAAAATGGTGATTCATGGAGGTACGTACATGTCTATATTCACTACTAATATTAGTAATAATGGTCCTGCCCGAATAATAGCCATGGGGGAAATTGCTATTACAGTTCTCATAACTGGGACAGTACGATAAGTAATAAATGTGAAAATATGATAGTGCTGGTAATGATAGTAATGAATCAAAAGAGGTTACTTCTTTAGAATCAAATAGTTTGTCTGAAATCCAATTAAAGTTTCCATTTCTGGCCAAAAATAATGAGTGTCAAAAACTAATCAACCCGGGACTATATTATATAAGCACTGAAAGTATATCGCCTGCCCACCCCATGAAAAATGGCACTTCCAAATTTTTACGTACATGTCTATATTCACTATATCGCCCACCCCCATAAAAATATTACACTTCCAATATTTTCTTGCCATTTGCGATATGGCGAGAAATACAGTATAACGTTCCAAATTTCCAGTGGTACCTTGTAATTCATAGTAAAAGACGTAAACCAAACTATTTAAAGACTTAGCAGCTGTTATGTTATAACAAGTTTTTAATGAATTGATTTTGTAGCGCTACTCAGTATTAATATTTATAGATTTTAACAAATGTATGTATACACTAAAAATAAAATACTGTATACTATACCATATCTTTTATTTATGTATTTACGGTACATGTATTTGTTTGTCCGACAAGTAACCTTGGTTGGCCA